TTTTTTTTTTTTTTTCTGAATACTTCAGAAGGGAGTGGTTTGATGTGAAGGGTTTTTTTTTTTTTTTTCCCCTTCAGGCATTGAAAAGGAAAAGATGAAATATATGTTTATATATAACTGTGTTTCTCCATACCTCACTGAAGTCAAAACCCATTTAATTGTGTACGTGTCTTTCAAGTGAGGAGCGGTACTGGATTTTTTCCCCCTTTCTTTTAAAAAAAGTGATAGAAATCCCAGTGACTTTGAGGAGGGGGGGGAGAGATATGAATAGATCCGATGATTGAGTTTTTTTTTTTTTTTTTTTTTTTTTTTCAAAGGAGTCCATGTTTGATTCTCCCCTTTGCCCAGCCTTTTCGGTGATTTATAATTGTTGTAAATTTTATCTTCACTCTTTGCTGCTTTACCTCCCCCTCCCCCTCCCCCAACTGCTCCACTCTTAAAATTCATCTGACTTGGGAAATTAATTTAGGGATTGGTAGAACAGATTTTTAGAATAAGGGGGAAAAGAGTCAAGTCTGAGAATTGTGAAACTGTTTTCTCTTTTTCTCGCGTTGCAGTGTACCTCCCTTCCTCCGTGATCTCCGACACTGGTAAAGTGGAAGGAACTCGGGTACCCTGCCACAGAAAAGTACTGGGACCGAGCAAGAGAAAGAGGTAGGGGTTACCCTCACGTCTCCCTCTGACTCGGTTGGCCCAGGATTTCCCACTGTACCCCAGTGGCTTCGGGGGATCAGGTGGGAGCCTGAAAAGGAGTCCCCCAAAGTAGCTGCCTCATCCAGAGACTGGATCACAGAAGTCCTGGGACTTGCCCGTTGAGCAGTGCTAGCGGAAGGAGGCACAGTGGTTCCGTTCTACCCTTTTTTTGTTTGTTTCTTCTGGTCGCCTTTCCGAACTCCACCTCCCTCCCGTTCTTTCTATCGCACTCTGCCCCTTCCTTGAGGCCCACCCCATGCCCCTGGCACGGAGGGATAGTTTCTCTCCTGGGTTATTTCTCTCCCCCTGGAGCCACCCAGCAGCCCCCCCACAGTGTTCAGGAGCACCTTACGAGGGAGGGGTAGGTAGGCAGCAAGGGGGACAGGATTCAGGACAGGGAATACCCTGCCAGTTTTTGCTTGGGAGGCTGAAACATTCTTTATTGACATACACCCCCCTCCCCGGACACACACACTAATGCACTAGACTGAGCATTGATTTCCAGCCTTCTCTGAACCCGGCCTTTGGAATCCTCTCGTCTCCGCTCTTATATCATCCCTGCGCCCGGGTCTGACTGCTGTCCCTCTTCTGTTCCATTTTGTTCCATCCCTTCCCTAGGTGTCTTTGTGCGAGTCCGTGTGGGTGTCCCCCTTTCTGTGTGTGGGCCTCTCTGTGTGTGTCTGTGTTTTCTCTCCAAGACTGATTCTCTCGTCCCTTTGGCCGCTCAGGCTGTTCTACCTCGAAGTGACTTTCCAGCCCTGTCTTGTTTCTGTTTACTTCTCTCTTCCCCGCGTGTGCCTGCCTCCCTCCTCTTTCTGGTCCGTGTGTGTGTGTGTGCGCGCGCGCGCGCGCATGTGTGTGTGTGAAGAGTGTCCCCACGTGTATGTGGACAGCCCCGCACATCATGTGCGCCACAGTCCCCCAGCCTCGGTGCCCTCTCCCCCTGCGCCGAGCGCCTCCGCCTGCCCTCATGTGCCCATGAGCTGCAGGTGTGGATCTCCGGCCACACGTCCGTCACCCTCTCATGTGCTTTGCAGACAGATCTGTTCATTCCCTCCATTCTCCCTCTTGTCCGTGTCCCCTCTGCCTGCCCGCCTCCCCTGTTCTCTTTCCTCTCCTGCCGACCTCTCCGTTTCCCCTCTGGTCTCCTTGCTTCCGCCTGCTTGCTCTACCTCTACCTCTACCTGCTTGCTCCTGTTCTGGTGTCTGCCGGCCCGCCTGTCTGCTCCTCCCCGACTGGCTGGCAGCCTCTTCCTCTCTCTGGTTGTCTGTCTGCTTCTCTGGCTGTTTGCCCACCTCTCTCTCTCTCTCTCTCTCTCTCTCTCTCTCTCTAGCCATCTGTCTCCCCGCCTGCCTGTCTCTGTCACTTTTTTAGCCCTCGTCTCTTGGTTTGTCTACCTTCCAGGCCCTGCCGTGGCTCCCTATCTCGGTTTGCCTCTTATCTCCTACTTGTTCCCGTCTTATTTATGCCTGTTAAGTTCATGATTTTTCCTTGCCGCCCTTTATGTCTGTCTGCTTGCCTGTCTACCCCGCTCGCCTGCTGCCATCCCACTGGTTAATGCTTGTATCTTTTCAGTCTGACTGCACGTCGGCTTCCTCCCCCTTGGCTTCCTCAATACCAGCAGTATCAGCGTCCCGTCAGTGGCGGTGGTCGCTCTTCCCCGCACCTGTCAGTGACCCCCAGGCCCCAAAGGCTTACCTGCCTTCTTGCCATACCCCACCCCCTCCAACCCTACCTTTGCTCGCTTCTCGCCCTCCTGCCGGCCATCCCTTTCCCTTCGTGTATTTCTGGTCCCTCAGAGCGTCTGCCTGTCTTTTGGCCCGGCTGTCTGCCTGCCTGCCTCTTGGCTGTCCACATCTCCGCTCACTTTCTCTTTTCTCGTCTTCTCTCGTCACTCAACTTTTTAAATTTTTATTGATTTTTAAGGTGTATTTATTTCTTTTGAGAGAGTTAAGTGAGCAGGGCAGGAGCAGAGACAGAGGGAGAGAGAGAATCCCAAGCAGGCTCCGCGCTGTCAGCGCAGAGCCCGACGCGGGGCTCGAACCCACGAACGGGGAGATCATGACCGAAGCTGAAATCGGGAGTCGGAGACTTAACCACCTGAGCCACCCGGGCGCCCCCACTTTTGAGTAGATGGTACACACGTGCACGCATACACACGTACAGAATTTTTCGAGGGCTAGAAGTACCCTGTGGAGAGGAAGCCTCCCTCCTGTCCCTCTCCCCCGGGCCCTGCTCCTCTCCCTGAGGCCGGCTTCACTACTCTTTATTTCTTGGACGTTGTTCCAGAGAAGGGGCTACACGTCTACAAGTCTCCTCGCTTTGGGCCGCACTCCTCCCTCCTCCTCTCCCAGTTCTGCTGGATGCTTCTTTCTCTGTCAGTCTGTCCATAGGCCTTCCTGTCTCACCTGGCTTGCCACCTCTTGTTCCTTATCTTTTTGAGTCTGCTCTCGGGCACCTGTCTTTTTTTTTTAATTTTTTTTTCAACGTTTATTTATTTTGGGGACAGAGAGAGACAGAGCATGAACGGGGGAGGGGCAGAGAGCGAGGGAGACACAGAATCGGAAACAGGCTCCAGGCTCCAGGCTCTGAGCCATCAGCCCAGAGCCTGACGCGGGGCTCGAACTCACGGACCGCGAGATCGTGACCTGGCTGAAGCCGGACGCTTAACCGACTGCGCCACCCAGGTGCCCCGGTACCTGTCTTTTTGATCGGTCGCTAGAAGCACGCTTTTCCTGCCAGTGCGGCACGCTCTGGAAGGGCCCGCTCCCCCCAAGGGCCCTCCTCTGCACGCCAGGCTATCTGGGAGAGGGCACAGCTCCCCGGCCCTTCATCACCGACCATGGATTAAACGAGAAAAAAAATGGGGAAGCGCCCACAGGTGCTCGCACGGGTCCAGTTAGTCAGCACAGGCTCCTGTGCATGGGGGCCTGCTCTGCCTTCCCCCCAAGTCTTTACAGGCATGTGACTCTAGATCCTTCTAGGCCCAGCAGCACCCTCAGGCTGTTGACTTCGGCCCGTCCAAGGAGTCTGTCTTCCTCTAGTCTAAGAAATTGCTTCTCACAAAAACTTTTCTCCCTCTTGTTCCTTCCTTGGGCTCCTCTCCCCCGCCACCTCCGAGATGGTGACGCTAACTCCTGGGAAGGCGGGGGGGGGGGGGCGCGAGGGGGGGGGGAAACAAAGGCACAGGCTCCATCCAGGCCCCTTCGGAAAGACGGTGGTGAAACTTTTACTGAGAATGCACTATTCTTCCCTGTCTGCTTTTTCACTGCCTGGACTCCTGATTTTAACTCTTTCGGCCTCCGTGTCCACGTCTCTCCCCTCTTCCCCTCCCTCCATCTCTCACCTCTCTTTTCTCGGTTCTGTCTTTCCTCCTAAGTGTCTGTCTTGGGCTGCCTTCTAGCCTCCTTCTGATTGGCCACCTTCCCTCTCTTCTGTCTGATTGGCCTGCGTCCCTCCATCACCCCATCTGTCTGCTGGGTTCTCCCTGTCTGCCTGCAGTAATGTATGTGCCCGCACTTTCTCAGCCACAGAGCCCGGTGTGGCATGGAACGCCGTTTCCCACGTCGTTCTCCCGCTTTCCTTATTGTTTTCTTCCTTTCTTGCTCGGCCTTCTCCCTCTCTTTCCACGCCTGCCGGCCTGCCTGGTGCTCTCTCCCGCCTCTCTGTCACTCATTCTCCTTTCTGTCCTTGCCAGCCTGTCTGTCTGCCATCGTCTGTCTACACCACTCTCGTGTGTCTCCTGCGTTTTCAGGCTCCTCTCTTTCTCTTATCTGTCTGTTCTGTCCGTCCGTACCTGTCTGTTCTGTCTGTCTGTAGGCTCTGTGCCTGTATGTCTCACTGTCTCTGGGCTGCTAGTCGCTTTCAAAGTGGACACCACTTCCCTGCCTTCTTCTATCTTTCTGTGCTTCAAAAAATAAAAACCAAATACAAAGTTAAGGTGCCATATGACTAACTAATTGGCAGAGGAGAAGGGTCCCTGTTTTTAATGAGAAGACCACTGAGGTGAGAAAAAGGACCTTAGGCACGCAGCCTGTCCAATGCAAACCAGAATTGGAGGGCCCCCTCCCCGAGAAAGAACTAGAAGAAAATTGTAAGGGACTCCTAAGCCATAAGAAGATTATTTCTTTAAAGCCAAAGCAAGAAACTTACCCAATGCAAGCGTTTCTAGTTTTGTTTTTTGTTTTCTGTTTTTCTTTTTTTGGTTCATAGAAAGTTATCAGCCCTTCCCCCAGAAAAACAGTATACAGCTGGCCCTTGAGCAACGTGGGTTTGAACTGTGCGGGTCCACTTATATGTACATTTTTTTTATTTTTTTTTAATATTTATTTTTGAGAGAGAGAGACAGACAGACAGAGGGCGAGTGGGGGAGGGTCAGAAAGAGGGAGACAGAGACTCCGAAGCAGGCTCCAGGGTCTGCGCGGTGAGCACAGAGCTGGATGCGGGCTTAAACCCAAGAACTGTGAGATCATGACCTGAGCGGAAGTCGGACGCTTAACTGACTGAGCCACCCAGGTGCTCCTGGATTTTTTCAATAAGTATATCGAAGATATTTTGGAGATGTGGGATCATTTGAGAAAACTTGGGGATGCACTGCATGGCCTAGAAACATCGACAAAATTAAGAAAAGGGCATTAGATGAATGCACAAAATACACGTAGCTATTAGTGTATTTTATCATCTCCTACCTTAAAATATTACACAAATCTATTTTTGAAAGTTCAAACTTATGCACAAAAACACTTAGAGACCATATGTCACGTTTTCATTTTTGACGCCCAGTATTAGTCCCGTGCATTGACGCAGGGACTGACAGATGATTCATCTTGTAAACAGGCGACGTAAACTTACGGTACTGATCAAGGCAGTACGCGACTGTAAACGTATTTTTCTTATGATTTTCTTAATACCATTTTATTTTCTCACCACCTTATAGTAAGAACGCAGTATATGACACACAGACAAAACATGGCTAATCAGCCGTTAATGGTAGCACCAAGGCTTCTGGTCAACCGTAGGCTATTGGCAGTTATGTTACGGGGAGGCAAAAGTCGGACGCGGATTTCCTACAGCACGAAGGGTCAGCGCCCCTGACCTTCATGCTCCAGGATCAGCTGGTGTATGCAAAATACCACATATGTTTTCACAGTGTTACGAACACCCTGAGATCTGTGGACCCCCGGTTACAACTCTGACGTAGGGAACCAGTGACAGTGATTGGTAGAGCACAGACGTGCGCTCGTGGAACAGGCAGGTCAAAGGACTGAAAAAGCGCTTTGCCATCTGTGATTTCCCACTCAAGGAAATGTTAACGAGGGTCCTAATTGTCTTTTGAAATATATAGATTGGTGATAATAATGGAAGTCATGGAAGTACTGAGGATATCCTAGACTTAATCATGGAATTTTAGAGAGAAGATCATCTAAACCAGTGGCTTCCAAATGGCTAAGGTTGCCACCTGCCCTTTGCTGAGAAGATCTGTCCTTTGTTTTGAGATTATACTTTTTTTTTAAGTTTATTTATTTATTTTGAGAGAGACAGAGCACGACTGGGGGAGGGACAGAGAAGGAGGTGGGGAGAGAATCCCAAGTAGGCTCCACAGCATCAGCAGGGAGCCCAGTACGGGGCTGGATCCCACAAACTGTGAGACCATGACCTGAGCTGAAACTAAGAGTCGGACACTCAATTGACTGAACCACCCAGGTGCCCTGAGATAATACATTTCATATATATATATATATATATATATATATATATACATATATATAATTTTATATACATTTTATATATGTAATATACTATATAATATACTATTAATACATATACTAACATATGTATTAATAGGTTACATATATGCATGCTTATGTATTTAATTATAAATTTGTTAAAAATGTCCTTTCTAATGGAAGGAGGTCCATAATAGATTTTATGAAGGCAGAGAAAGGGAATGACTTTTCATACTTCTGTACAACTGGAGAATTTTTCAACATGTACTTGTTTTATAATCCAAAACATTTTAAATATCTGTCTTAAATAATGGTGATGGGCATATATTTGTTGTTGTCATTGATGCGTTTAGGACAATAAAAAGTCAGCAACTCCATGTTGATCACTAACTTTTTTGTTTTATTTTTACATTTTTTTTTTTTTGGTTATTAAAATCCAAAAGTCTGGGATCTATAGCTTAAAAATTTTTTTTTAACATTTATTTATTTTTGGAGAGAGAGCGCATGCGCAAGTTGGGGAGGGGCGGAGAGAGAAGGAGACACAGAATCCGAAGCAGGCTCCAGGCCCCGAGCTGTCAGTGCAGAGCCCGATGTGGGGCTCAAACCCACGAACCACGAGATGGTGACCTGAGCCGAAGTTGATGCTCAGCCGACTGAGCCACCCAGGCGCCCCTGGGACCTACAGTTTTAATCTAACCTCTTGATTTGGCAAAGAAAGAAACTTCAGTTCTTAATGTATCCTATTCATGATGTGCCCTACTTGCCGACCACCTACACTGTTACATGCGGGCTATTTTCCTTCAAGCCAGTTCACTTTTAAGTTAAACAGATGTCCTTTAAATTTTTTCTATTATTTATTATTATTATTATTTTTAGTAATCTCTGTACCCAACGTGGGGCTCCCAACTCGCAACCCCAAGATCACAAGTCATGTGCTTTTCCAACCAAGCCAGCCAGGCGCCCCAAACAAATACCCTTTAAAAAGTAAATTTCAGGGGTGCCTGGGTGGCTCGGTTGGTTAAGCGTCCGACTTCAGCTCAGGTCACGATCTCACGGTCCGTGAGTTCGAGCCCCGCGTCGGGCTCTGTGCTGACAGCTCAGAGCCTGGAGCCTGTTTCAGATTCTGTGTCTCCCTCTCTCTCTCTGCCCCTCCCTGTTCATGCTCTGTCTCTCTGTCTCAAAAATAAATAAACGTTAAAAAAAATAAATAAAGTAAATTTCATATTACTGAGAAATAATAATATCTATAAATCCTTGATTCGATGGGGTAATCACTTCCTAACTTAGTTTAAAATACAAGTCATTATTGAAACAAAAATCAGGGAAAATAACACCATCTTGCCCGCTACCGATGGTGTAGGTACCATATTTTAGGAAACATCGCTTCCCTCTAATTTTGTAGGTGCAGAAACGGGGGCCCAGATGTTGAAAGGAGTGCCTAGGATCAAGTTGGTTGGTAGGGACGGAACCGGGACTTGAGCCTATCTTCCAGTTCCTAGTCTGGTGTTCTTTCTACTATATACGAGACGAGACGACGTCAGGGCCAATGAGATGCCCTTGGGTTTTAAAGGAGCTAATACGTGAAAGTGATGGCCACGTATATGACTTACTACCTGTTACAACTGTACCAGAACTGGCAATAGTCCATTCAGTTGTATCTAGTACACTTTTGTGCTGCTGCCGCCGCTACTTTCCCCCTCCCCCTCCCCCTCCCCCTCCCCCTCTCCCTCCTCCTCCTCCTCCTTCATAATGTGTCTGCCCAACGCGGGGCTCAAACTCATGACGCTGACTCCCGACTGAGCCAGCCAGCTGCCCCTCTAGGACACTTGCAAAGTTACATGTTGTCTGACACAGAATTCCACCTCCTACCATCTACCCTGAGAAACAGTCCTCGCACTTGGGTGTATATAAGGTCAAACATGCAGACATATTCATTACAGCCTTGCTTAGAATAGCAAAACATTGGAGATGCCCCAGATCTCCAACAGTGAGGACCAGCTAAGTCAATTAAGAAATACGAGAAAACGGCAATTAAGAAATCAAGAAAACAGGGTGTCCGGGCGGCTCCGTCGGTTGAGCGTCCGACTTCGGCTCAGATCATGATCTCGCAGTTTGTGAGTTCAAGCCCTGCGTCGGGCTCTGTGCTGACAGCCTGCTTCGGATTCTGTCTCCTTCTCTCTCTGCCCCTCCCCCACTTGTGCTTTGTCTCTATCAAAAATAAATAAATGTAAAAAATTTAAAAAAAAGAAATTAAGAAAACGATTTACATCTATGTGGTAAGATTCTTTACTACTGAATGGCAAAAAGCAAGCTGCAGAACTATATATACATTATCATTTAGTTTATGTTCAAAGAAACAAAATGCTGTATGTTTCTACAGATACGTTTCTATCTATCTGTCATCTATCTATCTAACCTATCTATAAATGCCTTTAAAAATTCTGGACAGGGGCACCTGGGTGGCTCATTCAGTTGAGCATCTGACTTCGGCTCAGGTCATGATCTCACCGTTTGTGGGTTCGAGCTCCGCGTCGGGCTCTGTGCTGACAGCTCAGAGTCTGGAGCCCGCTTCAGATTCTGTGTCTCCCTCTCTCTCTGCCCCTCCCCTGCTTGCACTCTGTCTCTCAAAAAATAAATGTTAAAAAAATTTTTTTTAATTCTGGACGTATCAAATAGGGAATAGTGGCCACTTTTGGGGAAGAGTAGTCAAGGGGGATATTTACCTCTATTTAGAATTCTGAACTTTTAGGGACGCCTGGGTGGCTCAGTTCGTTAAGTGACTGACTTCGGCTCAGGTCATGATCTCACAGTCTGAGTTCGAGCCCCACGTCGGGCTCTGTGCTGACAGCTCAGAGCCTGGAGCCTACTTCAGATTCTGTGTCTCCCCCTCTCTCTGACCCTCCCTTGCTCGTGCTCTGTGTCTCTCTGTCTCTCAATGATAAATAAATATTTAAGAAAAAAATTTTTTAAAGAATTCTGAACTTTTACAGTGAGAAAATATCTATTGTGTGTGGAAACAAATTTAAGTAGCCTCGTGATCACCTTAGCAAATAAAACCAAATGACTTAAAAAGTAGTATGATTTCTGTAAAGAAATTATTCTTCACTAATCTAGTTTTTTGAGGAGAGAAATACATAAGCAAAGTATAATCAGCAGATGTAATGGAAGCTAAACTTTTGAAAACATTAGTGCGGTTCTAGTTTAAAAATTAACTGAGGTAGAGGCACCTGGGGGGCTCAGTCGGTGAAGCGTCCGACTTCGGCTCAGGTCATGGTCTCATGGTCCGTGAGTTCGAGCCCCGTGTCGGGCTGTGTGCTGACAGCTGAGCCTGGAGCCTGCTTTAGATTCTATGTCTCCCTCTCTCCCTGCCCCTCCCCTCTTCATGCTCTCTCTCTCTCTCTCTCTCTCTCTCTCTCTCTCAAAACTAAACAAACATTAAAAAATTAAGAAAAAAACTAATTGGGGTACAAAGAGAAGAAAGGAAAGGTACAGAAGAACATATTTATAATGATAGCATTGATGAAAGAAAAAAATATGTAAATATCTGGGGAATATTCCTGGAAGAATATACGAGAAACTGTAGTAGTTACACTGGAAAGCTTATTTTTTCACAGTACATCTTTTAAAGCAGCCTGGAAATTTTTTAGTGACCAAAGGATCAGCGAGGTGGAGGGAGGAGAGACTTTTGAGATCAGAAACACTAATCAACAACATGCGGTCGTGATAATTGCTATGGGCTATAAAATCTGAGAATTCAGAGAAGAAAGATCTTGGTAGGGAGAGGGGGATCACTGAAGAACTTTCGTGTGTAGTTGTATTTGAAGTAGGCCCCAAAAGATCACTAAAATTTGGAGCAGATAGAGGGAAGAAGGGCGGTCTATGTTGATTGAGAAAGTACTTAGCGAGTAGTATGTTGACCCCATCAGGCTGGGGTAAGTTCATGGTAGAAAGTTCTAGTAGGTGTTGGTACCTCTTTAAACAGTAAGAATGGTTAGCACATCAAGTGAAGAGTAGAGGCCAGAACTTGGGGGTACTTTGAAGAATGGGCAGGGGAGAAGAGAAGCCAAAGGAAGAAACAGAAGTTGTTAGAGTGATAGGTGCACCAGATAGTGTTATCGTGGAACAAGGAGACAGCTTCTGGAAAGAAGCATGACCAGTATCGCCAGGTGCTTCCTGGAGGGCAAGAAGATAGCCGACCGATCCTCAAAACATGAACTACAGAGTTACCGTACGACCCAGCAATTTCAATCTTAGGTGTACACCCAGGAGAATTGAAATGTGTGTCCCCACCACAACTTGTATGTGAATCTTCGTGGGAGCATTATTCATCATAACCCCAAAGTGTAAACAACCCAGATGCCCATCAGCCGATGAATGGATAAGCAAAGGGCAGTATATCCATACGGTAGAATATTATTCAGCCATAAAAAGGAGTGAGGTAGGGATAAACACGACAACATGGAAGAACTTAGCCGACATCATGCTGAGTGCAAGAAACTAGATATGGAAGGCCACATATTGTATGATTCTACTTACATGAAATGCCCAGAATAGATCAATTCACAGAGACAGGAAACAGATTAGTGATTGACCAGGATTTGAGGGGAAAAGAAATGGGGAAATGACTGCCAGTGGGTATGAGATTTCTTTTTGCACGTGATGAAAATGTTCTGGAATTAGGTAGTGGTGACAACCATGCAATCTTGTAAACATTATACTGAGAGCTTCTGACCTGTACACTTTGAAATCATGAATTTCAGGGGAGCCTGGGTGGCTCAGTTGGTTAAGTGTCCAACTTCAGCTCAGGTCACGACGTCACAGTTCATGAGTTTGAGCCCCACATCGAGCTCTGTGCTGACAGCTCGGAGCCTGGAGCCTGCTTCGGATTCTGTCTCTCTCTCTCAAAAACATTAAAAAATGTTTTTCAAAAGAAATCATGAATTTTATGGGTGAATTTTTAGAAACCATTAAAATGTTATGGAGGTTTTAAAAATTTTTACCTATTATTGAGAACTATTTCATAATTTCAAAAGAAGGTCAGACAAGGCTTTAAAAAATATGACTATTGTTATAGTTACTAAATCAGATGATGGACACACGTGTTCATTGTAATATCCTTCGTGGTTGATGTTATGTTACATCAACCTTTTGAACTTAACGAAACGAACAAAGAGAGTATGCAGGTGTCCACAGCCCTCCTTCAACTTTTCTGTAGGTTTGAAAATTTTCCAATTTTTCCAATTAGGTGGAAGGGAACTAATCGCAAAGAAGAAGCAAGGAAATAATGACATAAAATTCAGGATACCGGGTGAATCGAGGTGGGAAGGAAACCAACAGAAAAGTTGAAAGAGTGCTGTGGACCCCCGTGTACTCTTTTTTGTTTTTTAAGTTTTAATTTAAATTCCAGGATAGCGTGATACTAACTTCAGGTGTGCGGTACAGTCGTTCAACACTTCCGTACATCACCCTGTGCTCGTCACAATTGCATTCCTTAACCCCCATCACCCCTTTCACACACACCCCCATCCCCCTCCCCTGTGGGAACCACCAGTGTGTTCTCTATAGTTAAGCGTGTGTTTCCTGGTTTGCCTCTCTTTTTCCCCTTTGCTCATTTGTTTTTGTTTTTTTAATTCCACATAGGAGTGAAACCATACGGTATTTGTCTTTCTCTGACTGACTTATTTTGCTTAGCATAATACTTTCTAGCCCCATCCATTTCACTGCCAGTGGGAAGATTTCCTTCTTTTTTATGGCTGAGTAATATTCCATTGTATCTACAATGTACCACATCTTCTTTTAAAAAATTTTTTTAACGTTTATTTATTTTTGAGACAGAGAGAGACAGAGCATGAACAGGGAAGGGTCAGAGAGAGGGAGACACAGAATCTGAAACGGGCTCCAGGCTCTGAGCTGTCAGCACAGAGCCTGACCCGGGGCTCGAACTCACGGCCCGCGAGATCGTGACCTGAGCCGAAGTCGGACGCTTAACCGACCGAGCCACCCAGGCGCCCCTGTACCACATCTTTCCCCATTCAACGGTCGATGGACACTTGGGTTGCTTCCATAGTTTGGCTATTGTAGACAATGCTGCTCTAAACTTCGGGGTATTGGATTCCTTTGAATTAGCATTTTTGTATTCTTCGGGTAAATACCTAGCAGTGCAATTGCTGGATGGTAGGGTGGTTCTATTTTTAACTTTCTGAGGAACCTTCATACTGTTTTCCAGAGTGGCTGAATCAGTGTGCGCACCCACCAACAGCGCACGAAGGTTCCCCTCTTTCCAGACCCTTGCCAACACCCATCATTTCTTGTGTTGTTGATACCTGTATACTCTTCTAGATTTGGTGATTGTTAAGCTTTTTCCACATTGACAAAATGGCACGAGCAAATGCTTATGATCTAATTTCTTTTTGTTTTTTGTTTGGTTGGGTTTTTTTTCAGGTGTACATTTTGAGTTTTTACATACGCGTAGTCTTGTATGAACACCAGCCAGGTAAAGATATAAAATACATCAAGCACCAGCACCAGTCGGTTAAGTGTCCAACTTCAGCTCAGGTCATGATCTCATGGTTTGTGAGTTCGAGCCCCACATCAGGCTCTGTGCTGACAGCTCGGAGCCTGGAGCCTGCTTCCGATTCTGTGTCTCC